TCTCCCATTACTTGATCTGGGAGTTCTCTTGTTTTCTGGATTAGGTTCAAAATTACAAGACTATGAAGTTGAACATCATTAGTCGTAAACCCAAAATTTGGTCGGCTGTTTAACGGCGATTATAAAATAAAATACTTAACTTATAACTAATTTTTTAACACTATTTAAATTATTACTTATGACAGCCTAACAAAATGATAACAACCTGTTTAATATCCCCAGGGGAATTTTACGTATTTAAGCTCAGTAGTTTAGGTTCTGCGATTATGAAACAGTTCGCAAGGACATGTTTTTTTTTTGTATGTTTAGATTATTGACCCTATTTTGAATATACAACATGCATTAAAAATATATCCAATCATGAATCAAAATGTTGAGTTTTAATAAACATACAAATTCAAAACTGTCCCAGGCAAATCAATACTCCATCTGACATCTCATCTTACCTTAGTCTAAGTAAATTTAATTTGTACGGAATAGCAAACAAGATAAAACGTTTTTACAGTAAAATATTAAAGCAACTGTCGAAGTGAGCTGTCGTTTAAATCAACAGAACTTTCATTCTTAAGATTTGTGGATCCTTTTAACTAAAGTCTGTCATTTGATAAGAAAAGTTTTTTAAAACTTTCACAAATAGGTTTTAGAAAGGTAAACGTTAGCAGATATTCTGAAAATTACAATACTCAAAGAAGTACAATACCCACAGTCAAATTAGGATTTGAAACAGACATTAATAATAACAATCCAGGACCTAATGGAACTTGTTTATGAGGCTCTCTGGTGACTGCACATGAAAATCCTAGGAAATCCTGTCATGGGTTTTGGCAAAAGGGGTAAGTAAAAGAGGAGAAACTGAAACAATGATATTTAAACAAATGAGGTATTACTTTTGATGTACTTTTTTACGCTGAATTGAATGAAATGACAGTACGAATAGTTTGGAAGTTATAAGGGTTTTATGTACAAAACATGCTTGTTTGACTGGTGCATTATTACGCATTTGATGTTTGCATTTGTTGAACCTTCAAGATAGTGTCCTAGAAGATGAATATCTTATCCTTAGATCAAAAGTTATTCAGCGTGGTCCGTTTTTCATTTTGCTCACTGTACGTATGACAGTGCCTATTAAGTGGATATTCAAATCAGATTTTGTGTTATTTCTATTTGATAAACCAGATGAATGTTTTTAATTGTATTTATTTCCTTCACTAGAAACAATCGCATCACCCTGGAATTTTCCATGGTTATGTATGGGGTAAAAGCACAAACTGATCTTGATAAAGAAAAGCATAAAATTTATTTAACAACAGTAGCAAGGCAATGAGTCATTAGTATTGTTACAAATTTAAATACATGTGTATAACTTTGCGAATATTCTTTTGTTATAAAGTTAAATATTTTAGACGAACCCTAAATAAACAGTTTTATTAGAAAATTTGCAAGAAATTCGCCTAATTCTAATGTAATTTAGAGAGAATGTAAAGCCTAATGCATCTTTTAATGCAAGAGTCAGTTTGACGATAATTTTGGTGACATGGCGACCATTTTGCTGAGAAAATAAAATTCGAGTTTCGAAGTTATAGGACTAATAATTATGGAGTTATACGAGAATTGTCTGTAAAGATGTCGAAAGTTCCGAGGTTTCATCACCAAGCCTACATAAATAGGAGTGTACCTCGCAATAAAGTGGCTTATCATACAGGAATATCAAATATATAAAAATTTCAATTTTGAATTTTTTGCAGCTTACGTTAATTTTTGTTGATTTTTAAGTTGATTACGTTGCAGCCAAACGAACCCCTGTGCTCGGTACTACGCGTTCAATTTAGCTAAGCTTTCTCTTACATCTGATGTAGAAGATCAATATTCATATCATATATATCTACAGTTGCAACAGTGCAGATATATCACCAACTGAATGGGGGTGTACTTTCGAATTGTTCCAACAACAAAAGAGATAGCTCCAGAAAACCTCTTAACACCTTGTCTTTTTAACTTCTTTAACCTCTTAAGTTTTTGCTTTCTTTTATAAATGATAATTGCTCATATAATTCCTTCTACAGCAGTCCTTCTACAGTCTTCCTGGCAGCAGTCTATTCATCCCATTAACAGTAAAGTTTGTTATAAAAAACATCTTTTACCTTTACAGCTTTGGCATGGTTACAAAACCATGAATTCAAAACTATATGTTTTTTTTAACCATTTACAACTAGCATGGTATCAAAGCCGAAAAACAGATATTTAACTGGACTTTGGAGCTTGGCTTTTTGTTACGTAATGGGCATTGAAGAGTGCAGGACTTAATCTGGCGAGTACAGAACACCGGAAATACGTCATGTGTTGAAAGGAATGAAAACAATATTGTGGTCTTGATCAAATTAATGGTGTATCTGGGACTCAAACCTAGTTCTGTCGGTCCTGAGACTGACAGATTAGATCTCTCGAATATAGTATGTACCCAACTGCAAGGAACAAAGTGGATTTATTAGGTGGGCATAGTTGGTGAGATAAAATGATAAAATTATAGTTGTTTAACCGTATTAGGTAAATTAAGAAGGAAACGGTTTTTCTCACAATTAACAGTTTGAATACCATCTTATACTTGGTTATTAGAGTTTTTTTTAATATGGTGAAATAACAATTAAATAAATTATTATTTTACAATTTTTTCCAAGAAATTTCTAACGGTGTAGTATAAAATAACAAATAAATAAATTGTTATTTAATCATTTTTTTCCAAGACATTTCTAATAGTGTAGTTTAGTTTGGGAGAAAATATTTATTTTATATACTACTGATAATTGGCAAAAAAAAAGACAAAGATTAATTAAGAATCAAAATAATGTTTTCATAATTTTCAGAACTGGAGAACTGGGTAATAATTTTTATTCATTAAACAGAGGAAAAATATTTTATATTTAATGAGTTTTTAAAAAAATAAGCTTCAATTACAATATTTTAAGAAATCGTTATCGAAGCTTATGTCTTTTTCATTGAAGTAATATATTTTTATAAAATAAATTCGCTTATTCTCTTTTTACTCTGCTTTTCGGGAAAAATGTTGTTAAGAAAAATAATTCTGATTCTTTTGAAACTCTGTCGTACTTTTATCTTTCAACACAAGTTTAATGTAAAGTCAATATTAAGTCTGTTTCTTATTGGCATAAAAAACTTGTTCAAAGAATTTATTTGAATAGAAAACGAAAAAGTTTTTGAATTCAGTTTATGATAGGTTTCTACAATCCTTCCCCTTGAGAGAACAGTTTTAATGAGAGAAATGCTGAAGTAAAAATTATTTCTGGTGAAACAGTTTTTGAAGTTCAAACGTACAACAGAAATGCAGAGAGAAATGAAGAATATCTAAAATAAAGGTACCGGCATAATTACATAATGTTAAAACTTATATTAATAAGACTTACATAAGACTTTAAAGTAAAAATAAATATATATGAGTGGACAGCAATTAAACAGCAATTTTTTCGAGAATTATTCTTAACAGATATTTTTACTTTGTAAATAATTCGGATTGTGATGCCATTATAGACATCACATTTTTCTTACGTTTAAAATTTTTTTTAAGCTCAAAAATTTAATTTTTTAAATCATTCTTAATCCTATTATAATTATTGTTTAATATTTATGGCATTTTATAATAAGTAAAAATATAAATACTTTTATTCTCTCCTTAAAAATTAATGAAACGGCTAACTTTTTATTTCAATACAAGTGTATAATTCCTTAATTCAGTGCCCTGCAAATCGAATATCAAAATCTATTTTTACTTTATTTTTTCTTTAAGCAATTTAATTTCTCTTACCACGAAAGTGTTTCTGTTACAGAGTTGCATAATATTCTAACAGTATTTTTAAAGATTAGATGGTAGCCAGATTGTTTACAATTTAATATTAATAACGCTGGGCTATCTTTGTTTTTGGTGATTTTTCTATCGATAATTCGCCAAATTTTGGAAGCCTTCCAATACTCTTAAGTGTCCGCTAGCAACCATGCATTCTCTGGAAATTTGAACTTCTTGGTATAAGGGGTCACTCTGGATATTTGCTCTATGTCAGCGTAGTTCGATAGTTGAAATTGTTAAAAAATTTTCATCTAAAAATGTGTGTATATATATACACAGTCCACTCACATTAATGTGACCACCTGTGAAAAGCCAGAATAACCACCTTTGGCAGAGCGGACCGCTTCGAAACGTGCAGGAAGAGAGTTGGGATATATATATANCTGGGAAATATATTAGATATTTTCTGAGGAGTATATTAGGCTCTTTTTTGATATATATATATATATATATATATATATATATATTATGAATATCAGTTATTTACAAGTAAGTAAATTCAAAAGCGTTAAAAAGTGTTTTTAAAAAAAAATTATAGTTATTGAAAGGTTATTTGTTCGTTATTTTTAATTGTTCGTTATTTGTACTTTATTTTTGGTTTATTGTTCGTTATTTTTTCGTACATTTAAACTCAACATTAATTTTTTTATAGGAAATATTTGAAAACCATCTTCAAAGCTTACTTTCGCGAAAAGTTATTTTTTTGCAATGATTAAAAGGTTTGCATGAAAAACAAACGTTTAAAATTTTGAAAACTACTTTGAAAAAGTAATATATATGGAAATTTTCAAAATTCCTATAAATGGTGAAATTCTAATAAATCTATTCAAATTTCTATAATAGTGCAATTGTATTCAGAACATAATATTTGGAATTATTTTCTAATTTAGAATATTATTTTTAATAAAATAAGGCTTGTTCAGACCTTTTTATTAATTATATTTTGTGCGTCGATATTTTATGCTTTGAATTATATGTAACTATTAAAAACGATGTCGGCAAACTTTGTATATACGTCCAAAAATATATATATAGGCAAAACAAATGAATGATTTATAATTTCAAAAGTTTATTTCGAAATAAATTGAATTGTAAGTTAAGCAAGTAAAACAAAACGAAAAAATAAAATCAAATGGAAACTTACCTTCATCTGGATATGTGTGGTTATAAAACCGAAGCAAGCATTCCAACTCTTCAACAGACGCTGACGAATAATTCGTGAGAAGCTCGTATTCTGGAAAGCTATGAGTTTCGTTTACTTTCCATTGAAATGTATCCATTTTTAAGAACTATACAGTTACAGTTACATCATTCGCTTTTCAATATTATTTAATATCTTTTTACTGAGATTCATCCAGAGTTTACAAAAATAAGCGCCATTGAAGAAAGAGATTATTGCATGACTGCTGAATGAAGATAATAAATATTTTTTGGAGCAATCCTTCTTAGTCCAGGGCTACATTTCTCAAAAAAGGAATTTTCCAAGCGACGAAAAATTGATTCTTTTAAAGATACCATGGAGCATTTACGAAAAATTGTGGAATACTTTTCGACTTCTCTCGACTCGTAGCAGCCATTTCGATGGCATAAAAGACTTCTCATTCGAAATCGTACTCTGTTTGAAGAAGATAAAAAAGTGGAAAAATTCTTCTTTTCTGTGTAATTTTATTTATTTACTGATAAGAATTCATCTGCAATTCTAGACGCGTTCTTTTAGTATTTTTTGACGCCATAATGTAAACGAGTCAGAATTTAAGATTTGTTTAAATACTTATCGTTTTCTTTTTTGGTTTTGGCATTACATCACTTTTATAGTTATTGTTATTCTAAACTTTTATGACCATTAAGAGAAACATAGAGACATTTTTAAAATATTAATAAGACATTTTTTTTTAAAAGATATATTTTCAATAGAAGATTCAGACAAAAACTTTCAGTCTGTTGGTTTTAGTCTTAATCTACACGCATTCATTACAAGAGTTCATATATGTTCATATAAGTTTTCTTTTTCACTGATCAAATGCTTATTTGTCTTCCAGTTTATAAAATAGTTTTTAGCATTTGAGACTTCTATGGCCCTACATACTTCTCAAGGTTTTTATTTCTCATGCAGATTTTATTCTTCATAGTGTTTTTAAAATATTTGTCCTTACTTTTAAAATTTTCACATGCTCAACACATGACATTGCATTAACTTATCAATTTTTGTTTCATTTAATCATTTACATGAGCAACTTCATGAACGCTTAGGATTATTATAATAATGGCTTATCATCCTTTATTTCCCTCAAACTTAAGAAATAAAAAAAAGCTATCAATTACATTAGCCTAACATTAACCTAAGAAATCGATGAGATGATGCTTTGGTATATATGATCTTTGTTAAAAGGACAAAATTAAAAAGAAAACGTCTTTTCTGAACTTCTTCTGACTCTTCTATTAGATACTTTGATTAAAAGTATCTTCACTTTTCAATGATAGTTTTGTATGAATCTGAAAGAGAAAAGAAAACTTTAATGAAACAAATAAATTTTTATTATATTAAAACGCAAACATATTTGTTACTTAATTTTTTTAATGAAATTGAATTGTCATCTATTTACCAACAATTTTTACCGTTCAACTTTAACTAAAGATTTTCCATTTAACATTAATCTAATTGTCGCATGTACTTAAATTCATCCTCTTTTGCTTTCTTGTTAATTTTTTGCAGTGTAGTGTATTTACTTTTTAAACAATTACGCTTTCAAAATTATATATTTTTCAATTAGAGCAATGTAAATGCCAAGATATCATTATTTAATTTGTACTGGTAATGGAGTTCTGATGATCTCATTCTGAAGAACATCATGCTAACTGATCTCAAGGAGTATGCTATTTTAATGCATAAATAGGGTGTCTGAAAAATAAGGAAACAGTCAAGTACCTCAAAAAATATGATTCGGTTGAAAAATTAAACAAAAAATTTCACAGGTAAACTATTTTAAGGAGATACACCTAATAATATCCTACTCCGAAAAAATTAATCCTAGTTAGAACTTGAAGTGTATATTGGTACACAGATGGCACGGTATTGACGAAAAAAATTAGGGCACCGAGCGAAAGAAAAAGAAGATCGAAACACCATGAATAACTTTTTATCTTATTTCCGTATTTTCAAGTAGTTGGCATCGATTTTAATGGTTCGTCGGAGGGACCTCATATATGCTAATGGGTTAGCGCAGACGATATTTTAAATAAACGATTTTTTTTAATTTCGACTAATTTTGTTCCAATGGTTTCCATAAAAAATTGCATTCCTTAAAATGGCGTAAGAACTTGCGAATGCCTAACAATTCAAAAATATTTTGATTGTTTTTAACGAAAATAATAAACAATTATTGATAATAATTTTTTGCATTGAATTATCGTTGAATAAACGAATTTTATAATTGCATGTAAAAAAAAATTCAATCTGCTTTAACATTTTTCGACTTATAGTGAAATATTCAAAAAGTAAAATTAACACTAAGAGGTCATAACTTTGGATCGCTTTCCTGACCAAACTATTGGGACCATGTTTCCTAGTTCACAACTATCCACTGTGTTTTAAAGGTGAGAAATCCAAATTCTTGAAAGAAAGAAAAAGATAAATTCATTCAGATAAAGTATACGCTTCTGTGTCTGATTTCGTTAATTTAAAACAGTGTTTCCCAAACTTATGGCCTTTGTGTACCCTTTCTAAATGTTTCGTAACGTCATGCACCACTAATAAAATTAATGTATTTTTTTAAAAATATGTTTATTTTTGCAATAACATATTGTGCAAAAGTTAAAAATCACAACTGGTTGTTGACACCACTAATTATCAACTGTTAACTCAGCAAAAAATAGCCTATGGAAAAATACGTAATCGTAAATTTTCATGACTAGCTTTGTTTTTAAATAAAATTTTTTGAAATTTTCATTTCTTGCAAGATATTTCACATAAGACCACGTACCCCCTCTAAACTGTTCCCGTAACCCTGGGGGTACGCGTACCACACTTTGGGAAACACTGCTTTAAAATATCGTCTGCTGAACAATTTGACATCACTCAAGACAACCATTAAGTGCTAGTACATGAAAATCTGACCATTAGATCAGAAGTAATTCAGGATGCTTCGTTATTTTGTGTACAACACATTATTTAAAATGGAGCTATCTAAAAAAATACTCAAAAATACTTATGATGCTTGATATCTTAAAAAAAAACTATTTCAGGAAAGCTTTCTACTCCTTGAGGCTAAGATGATACCTAAAAAATGAGAATCGAGTCAGATATCATTCAGTATATTCTTTGATAATACGTGCATTTCATTAGGTTTTTGATTCACTGAGTCTTTATTGAGATATTTGATTGCTTCCATACTTTTCGGATATTCTGTGCAAGTAGGTTGTTACGGTTGGAGCGATTTTCGAAGAATGTGCAATTAATCGAGAGGTAAAAATTAGTTATGATGAGCCATGAAAAAAATAAGTATAACAATTTTTATCCGACATTATTTTAATACATAAATAACATAAGCCAAAAAAAGCAAAAATAGAAAAATGTAACTAAAACTAAATGTCAACATAATATTAATAACAGCAACTGTGCAAGTGTTTAAAGTCTTTCTATTTTTTAAAATTCAGTACACCATAAAAAAAATCCGGAAAAAATGCAAAGTATACATTTGCATTTTGCATGAAAAAATGCATTTTGATGCATCATCCGTAAAATCCATTTTGATCATACAATAATATACTATAATTAATACATTAATATTTATTTACTTAGAATGATTCGTGATTTTGCCGTAACTATAACTGTAAAAATTTACTTTATATCAGATTTCTCGTTCGGTAACATGTTACGGTAAGAAAGTATTTTACAAAAAAAAGTACCGACTCTCTGATACTTCTTATAGTAGTTTGATCCGTAATTTTTTACAGTTTACAAGCAATAGTTTTCGTAATTATATTCTGGCTTTCTTAGCATTCGAGAAAACCGATTCCGTCTCTGTATAACTATTACTTCGTATTGGCGTATGAAATGAAAGACACATTTTATTTCCTGCTTGTTAAACTAAACAGGAGGACCCTTTCTAATGAATTGCAGTTACAATCACTTGAATTTATCATCTGTCTTTCTCATTTGAGATTTCGCTATTCGAAGGAATGTCAAACTTAGGAAAGTTTTCCAAATGCTTGTCAAGATGTACATGTAGACTTTCACTTTGTATATCCTCTCTAATGACAAATTTGTACCAGGAGTAGTAGTTTGAAGAGATATGGAAACCGGGACTGAAAGTTTTGTTTTAGAGGAAACATAAAATTAGATGCATTTTTAGATACTTTTAAGAACGGAGTAAAATAAATTTTTAATTTTAGATAAAATAAGTATTTTTTACTTTTTCGTCTTATGAAATATGTAATTTTATTATATTAACAAAATGCGAAATTTTAAAATAATCTTATAGACACAATTTTTAGCAAAGTTTGCAACATAGTTTTTAACAGTCGATTTCTCGAGATACATAAGACTAATATCTGTATGGAATTCGTGTAACAATAAATGCTTAGACGATATTGAATATGCCAATGATTTAAGAACAATATTTAACAAAAATTAACGAAATAATGATTAAATTCCAAAGGATAAATTTTTTGTGATCTGCGTCGTTTATTAAAATTTAAATAATAATCTCTCTCTTTATTTAGCACCATAAAATAAATTTAAAAGATAATAAGAAGTTATAAGGAAGTGAAAGATTTAAACTGTTTTTTTAATAAGTTTTTCAAAAACACAATTTTAAGCAAGATTTTATTTTAGTAGTATAGTCCTTTTATCGTAGCACTTCCTTAAAAAAAGTTTAAAAAAGCCGGGGCGGCAGATTAAAAATAGATGCTGCATATTAAATATAATAATACAATTAATATAAAATTTCATAACAATGTTTAAAAATATTTTTGAAAAAGGCGAAATACTTAACCGTTATCATTTCAATAGAGAAATCAAATATTGGATGATTTTAATACTGCATATCTTGGTTTTATTAACTAGAATTATAAATTTTTCTTTTTATTACCAGAAATGTCATTACCAAACGCTTCGGTAATTTTCCAGAATTTTTTCTTCGTGTACATTTTTTTTCCAATATACTTAATTCAAGATGTCTTTTAAACAAACATAATTATTTGTCAGAAAATTAATAAATTATAAAAGAAATTTATCTAATCACCCTACCATTGAAAAAAATCATTTCAGTTTTAATTATCACTATTTGTTTAAGGAACGTTGTTCAGAGACATTGTTTTAAGAACATATTATTCTAAAACTTCTTTTTTGTTCTTTCCTTAATTTTCCATTAAGAAGAGGATAACATCATAAGTTTTTCTAGAAAAACTAGAGCCGTAATTAAATTTGTGGTGAACAGGCAATCCCTCGGGGTACAAAACGTGAATAATTAGGCAGAATAATTTCGTATATTTTGTAGCAATTATGTTATATTATTTTATCTAATAGAATAACTAAAAAAAAACTAAGTATGTGCTGTTTACTTGAAACTTTGTTATCCTATTAAAAGATAAATGTTTCAAAGTATTAAGCTCAGTATTTGTAGTTTGACAAGAACTTGCAAAAATAACACTAAAGATGAGCGTCGTACCTTGGATGATTATTTTTTAAGCAAATTAAGCAATTGCGTTTTAAATAATGCAAATTTAAATATTTCGTGCTTTTAATAAGAAAGTTAGTTAATAATATTTTTAGAAGCATTTATTTTTTATTTTAAAATATTTTTAGCTTACATTACATTAAAAGGAATTTAAAATATGCATTTAAATCTTCAAATGCTTTTCTTTAAAAAAAAAACGAACTTCGTTTTTACCCTTGCAAAAGACATACTTTTATTTACAGAAACTAAACTGTACAAATAAATACTCGAATATCATGAAATTCACACGTTTTTGCCATTTGCTGGTATACGTCCCAAGTGTACATTTTGTCAAAGTGACGAAGTAACTACTGCTACTTCCTTAATGAAATGGATTTCGTCAAAAGTAAAGAAATCTTACGTCTTTCTGTTTTTTTTTAAAAAAAAGAATAAAAAGAACGGTTGGTATTGTTGATCCTTTTTTCATGGGCATCATACAGGTGGATCAGCGTCGCCCCAACAACGCAAGACGGATAGTTGGAACCGAGAGATTAACTACTTCCATGCCCGAAGCGAGATTCGCACCCGGGACCTTCTCGGTATGAGGCTAACCCCTGTACAGCCCGGTCGGCTTATATCATCATTCTATAGTTTTCATCCAAACTTCGTTTTAGTTTCGTCATTCCAGATAACTATCTCCCACAATTCACTGCGATAAGGTTCCAAGTTAAGGAAACATATTTAAGAGTTTGCGCTTTCTCCCAAATCACGTGATTTCGTGACGAGTGATTCTCTAAATTAACGCAATACAGCTCAAGAATTTCAGA